CTTTACACAATTGATGTATGTACGGATTGTGATAAGAGTTGTATGAGCCCCTAATAAAATGATTTTTAAAAAAAGAACCATACTCAACAAGTTGTAAACTAACTTTCTTTTCTTATTCTTTGCAGTCTCTGCCACTAGTTACCAGTTGACCAAATTTGCCTTAGTTTTGTTCTCATCTTTAAAATCTAAATAGTGTTTTATAATTTTTGTGTAATAAGTGTTTTATAATTTTTGTTAATCTCCCTCATCCAAAAAATATTTCTAAGGCCTACTATTTGCTAGGTTGTAAAATATCTGTGGAGAATTTTGATAATAAGTTTCCTGTTGTTGTTTTTAACAATGCTTAGAAGAAAAGGAAGTAGGTATGGAGAATGGGTATCCTAAGAGGTTGATATTCATGAAAACTACATTCAAAGTAAACTAATCTGTCACTTGTAAATTATAGAAATCAGACCCCCAAAAATAAAAAACTAAGGGAGTACTCTTTTCTTTGGTCTGGAACTACCTCCCTTTTATAACTTTATAAACTTTCAATTAAAACAATCTAATCCTTCCCTTATTTGCTTCCAGGTGTAAAATGGAGTGTATCTAAGTGAGAGTCATATTTAAGTTACTAATACCAGCGTTGGACACTAATGGTAACAACATAGAGCTAACGCAATAGCCTTGCTTTAAAGGGGCTTTACAGCTTCCTGAACAGAAACTATTCCTCTCTGCGAGTTACTGGGAATATTTCCAGCCACAGTTGCCTCTAAAGATTTCTTTTGAAGGGTTTCTTACTCCCAGGAATTCATTATAACATAAATAAAACTAATTTAATTATGAATACAAATTTTAGATTAGACTTTTCTTATATCTTTCTAAATTTTAAGGGTCTTCCAACCACTATTTTCAGTTAAAAATCTCCTAAATTTTTAGTTATGCGTATCAGCTAAGATACTATGACCTTAATCCAGAACAGATGTTGAGTGTTGCAAGAGAATTTTCCAAATCTGCAACATATCCTTGGTAATGGCAATGCATCTGAAAAAAGAGTACAGAAAGTAGGAAGGTATATTAAATTCAAAATGAATAAAAATGTATTTTCACGCATTACAAGACTCTCAAAACATTAAACTCATTGAAAATAATAAGACTGGGCATCATGCAGAATTTTTTTATGTCATTTTATTGGGGGCTTATACAACTCATCACAATCTACACATACATCAATTATATAAAGCACATTTGTACATTTGTTACCCTCATTATTTTTTTTGGTTTAATTATTTTATTGAGGGCTCATACAATTCCTATCACAGTCCATATATACATTCATTGAGTCACGCACATATGTACACCTGTTGCCCTCATGTACACCTGTTGTCCTCATCAATCTCAAAACATTTGCCCTCTACTTTAGCCCTCAATATCATTTGCTCATTTCCTCCCTTCTTCCCCACTGCCCCCTCC